CGAATCTCGTATCAAGTACAGATTCATTGGGATAAAACAGAACACCTAGCAATGAAATCATATGACACTTGAAACCTATCCACGATCCACTCTATTTTAATTAAACGACACAAATTAAAAAAATTATGCTAAAAAAATATCAAATTTATTCACAGCTTGTCGAATCAATTTTTCTTTCGTTATGATTCTTTTGCGAAAATAATGATCGATTTATTCAACGAGAACTTACGTGAAATCGGCAACGATAAATTAATTATTATATTTTTTAAAACAACGACAATAAATAAACGTAACTACACGAAAATACTATTATCCTAATTAATTCGTCATCCACGACCATAATCGATCTAAGTTATATTTTTATCGCGTTAGGATATACGAATACACGAGTAATTATTAGCAAAGACACGTGGCATAAATTAATCGGGAATCGGTAAGGCGTATAGACTTGGTTAATTTAACCTCTGCATCGCGTAACGATATCTGATTATTTATAAGGAAAAACTGTAAAACCATAGATGCAACGTTAAACGCGACGCGAGCATAGTCGTCTCGTGTGAAGCGTATTTACGTGGAATCGCGTAAAAATGACTCACGGTGTTGTTACGTAGCGTATATCCTCGCGTTATGAATGAAACGATTCGATAGGCTCGACGCGCTTATCAGGAATTCTCTTCCACTTTACAAGAATCTCAGTCGTTTACAGATGCAAATGATCGACTTCCATGACCGTTATACCGCGCTCGAGTATCGTGCTCGCGTCGTAGATTTTTCATCCACGCTATCGATTACGTTGCGTCACATTTCCGATCAAAATTTCGATACAAAAGGCACGCGTAGATTACGCGGATAACCGCGCTAAATTATTCCGAATGACAAATAAGTTTCCTTGATTTACACGCGAAAATAAATTCTGTACTATTTCTGTACGGTTCATTCGCCCGTTCGCGAAGTTTCAGCGAAATAAAAGCAACCGCGACACGCGCTGTGCCGCTGCGGAAAGTAAAATGTATTGGATAGAATATGCATAGTATAGTACCGGCCACGCTATAGCGAGGTCGTAAACTGAACCATCGAGAAGCACCGCCCGATGTCGCTGCACTTGGAATCGCGCGCAGCATTCTGTTTTAGGATTCCGCGCGATAAAAATATGGCGTCACGCGACTAACGGTGTTTCGTTGGCCAACGGCAAAACTGCGAACGTTAATTGCTATTTAACTAAATCGGAGAGCGAGAAAAAGTAATTATAACGCGAGTACGAGTCTCTGGTTCGATATTTCACGCAAAATACACCAACACTGCACTCCATCCACGCTGTTATTTTCCTCGCATTTATTTCTGTCACTACTCGCGGCGCCCGAAACGCGTTTATGAAAACACTCCCCTTCCGATTTTACGATCTCGTTGTATCGCTGCCTGTTACTATTCCCTCCGGCGTAAACAAATCGACGTTACTCAAGGTTTTCCTTTTTTCCGCCTTTCGGTTTCTTTCATTCCATCCTCCGTCTAGTGTTTCTCAACGTGGCGCTGTTCGCTGACAGACACCTCGTTGTCGAGAAATACCCAAGTAAATGCACGGCCTCCGTCGGCGAACGTGCGCATTATTTCATTCGCCAATGAATCATCGATCTGAGTGGGACACTCGACGGTGCACGTATAAAATCACCGTTTCACGAAACCTCTTCATTTCGATGGATCTTTATTGCCGCTTTCCTCCATCGCGTTTCTATCGAAATCCAATTAGTACCGAGCTAAATGCACAAACAAGGCAGCTTGGCCGAACCAGAATTTATTGGATTCTGTCTAATCACTTCCAGCGTTCCTATATTTTCAATGAAAACTATCTTTTACCTTTCTTTCTCTTTTCATACCTTTTATGTTATTTTATTTAAGGTCGCAGTAACATCTATTAAATTTTGGAGTATATATTAACGTTCTTCGAAAAATTAATAACACCCGTTATGTTTTCGACGGAGTTCATTATCGCACTGGGGTCTTCTTTAATTTTATGATTTCTTCTATTATACTGGAAATCTCTGCATTTTAAAATGATACGATTTATGCCGAGGTCTCCGTTACGGATTAAACAATTTGCAGTATTTTCTTTGGTTATTATTTATACGTTATGTTATTTTATTTTATTTTCTCGTAGCATTTTATTTTATATTCTCACGTTATTTCAGTTTAGCTTTTACATTGCGTCACGCTTTATACGGTATTAAATTTTTGATATTAAGAGATACTTTTTAATTTTTCTGTATTATTTCAGGCATCCATTTCAACGCGAATCAAACGAATCGCGAAGATAAGAAATACACGTGCAAACAAACGTCACGAAATTCTACCGACAAGCTTTGCAACTATGCGATTATTCGCGATGACTCAACGCCGGGTTGCAAAATGGTGTACAACAAATTATTATCTATGCGTAAAAATATGTTGAAAGATCTAAACGATACTTGGAAGGTAAATTTAAATGCAATTTATCCAAGTAAAAATACCGCATAAATACCGCATACTTTCAACGTTGCGAACGTACGTGTATCGATAATGTAATTTAAACGAAGACACTGCTGTAAGAATTACGAAAACAAATCACGAATGTGCAAAATTCTTTTCCCTTTTACCGATTCTATACACGCGAAAATAATTCGAGATACACGGATAAAAATCATTTTTTCATTCGATCGTTTCTAAAATAAATTTTATTTAACTCTTCAGTCACCATTTCATCAAATTTGGAAGATCGATATTAATTAATATATCAAATTTAATGCAACGTAACAGTGTGCGAAGTATCGAAATCAAATAATTCTACGATTCTATTATAATACAATTCTTTATTTACTGCTCAAAAAAGTATCGTTAGCTTTTTGGTAAAGAATCTTTGAATTTTTATTCTTCTCTAGCCAAAAGTCGTCGAGTGCAAAAGGTTAATATAGAAGTAACGCGTGTAAGGTATGAATTTTCAATAATTCGTATAAATCGTAACACCGATTTCAATGTCTATAATATACATTTCGTACAACGGGAATAACGAATCTTCGATCCGATTTCACATTTGTGTTTACATATTACTAGTTAGAATAACGCTCAGTTATTACAGCAGGAACAATTGTCGAGTGTATGTAATAGTATTTAATTATTCGATTTAAATATCCAAATCACTATTCACAACGCGCGATACTGTTATAACGTATCGAATTAAAACAATAATTAACCTTGACGTTTTGAATATAAAATTTAAAAGAATATTATTCATATTGTTAAATTTGTCGTATAAATGTAACTTGTAATACACTTTGACACAATATACCATACTAATAGTACCTTATAATTAATTATCCAAAATTTAAAAACGTTTTCGCGTTTTACAAGTGTGTTCGATGATAAACAATTTTTATTTCACAATATACCATTGAATTAAAGTATTGAAAGATATAATACACCGAAACTGTTGACAAAATTTACATTTTCGATACGATTTATATATAAAAGGAATTAATTAGAAAAATAAGAATTTAAGCGAAATTTATAACAATAATTGAATTACTGCGTTATTTTAAGTATTTTCCAAAATATTAATACATGTATGCAAGATTGTGTAAAACAGAATTCGGAAAATTCTTATCTTAATGAAAATACCGAAGATTTTGTTAAAAATATTAATCGGTAAATTAAAAACAAATTTTGTTTCATAATCGCAGCAACTCGTAGGATTATTGCATCAAAACAATGAAACATATATTACATCGAAATTATGATATAATAAATTAATTTTTTTACAAAAAGTCGTATAAGCAAATATTTTCAATAATTGGAGATCAAATAAAATTTATACCTCGTTAATACGATGCTTTAAAACGATTCAGAAATATATACAAGAACGCGAGATAAATTGCAGCAAAAGCAGAAATTAAAAACGTATTTACGTTTAGCGAATAATAAGTTAAACGCCAAACAAGTTTCCGTTAAAAATATTACTCGACAAATTAATTTGTTAATTTGAAAGAATTGAATTTGGCCTATAGGATGAATTAATTAAAAATTAATTTGGTTAATCTTAACGAAACTTGAAAATATTAGATCGATCGAGTTTCGAGGTTACTGAAATTTCGCGTTATCGCGTCAAAGTGTATAATTAACAACCATGCCTTTCAGTAATTATCCGCTGTCACCGACAGGAGGTAAGCGTCGCGTATTTTCGAATCATTCGAACGACGTCTAATTAACCTCTACTCGCTATACGACAAACGTGTCCATCGGTATTCACGAGCGCCTTTGCAACATTCGACTTGCGAACTCACGGAGACATAAGAAAGATAATATTCGAGTCACCGGGGTACGCTAGCAGGTCGTTTTACAAAACAACCGTCGTAATTGTTTAAGAAGGTAGCGTCGCGATAAAAGCAGCTTTTTATAAACGAACGATAATTTCTAAAGCGTCATCAGTGCTATCTTCTCGTTGATCATTAAACAAATTTTCCAAATTAAAAATAAAACGTAACAAAAATGGACTCCCCGAACGATGAATTTCGTTTCATTTGAATCTTTATTATTTTTCAATAACACGGGTTTAGAGTATTTCGAGTAACGATTTAAATAGGAACGAACGTGAGAAAAAATTGGAACCGTTAGAATCATTCTAAATATTTAGCTCGAGTCAACGTGAGCGAAAATATACACCGTATAAATTTGTCATTGACAGGCAAAATGGCAAGAGAATAATAAACAAAAGCTATTCCGTGTAATGGTACAACGCGAGTCACGATTTGCCTCCATAATCGCATTCCGCGGTGAGGTTATCCTAGAATAGCCGAAATCTTAGCTTTCTCTCCGCTTTAATTGAAACAGATGAACAAACGCGGAAGAAAAATTCCGTAGCTTCTGCACGCAGGCAGAAAAGAAAGGTGGATTTGAAAATAGCCCGTGGAAGATATTTGCCGCTTTTTCCGTTCAACATGGCGACACCGTGGATATTCTGAGAAATATAAACTCACCGTAAATACGAGGATAATCCGTACGTAGTCGAACGGAAGAATACTGGTTTCCGATCAGAGAATCCTTCGATTCAAACGTACACGGTAAATTCGTGGCACATGTCACACAGAAGCGAATCGAGGAACGAGAATGAAGGGAAACGAAGACCTCTTATATCGCTGATCGAGTAAAGATAATCTTCTAAGCCACTTTTGTCTCTGTTCAGCTTTTCCGTATCACCATTTAGCACGTTGAACGTGACGCGTGCACGAAGATCGGTTTCTTAACCTATACGCGTAACGATTATCGTCGGAAATTGCGCGCCTACCCCTTAGAGAGAGCGATCGTTAGAGGTTAGGTCGCCGGTATGTCAAGCACGCACGCACAAACTGCCAGCTAAAAATCCAACCTTGTGTCCGCCGCTGTTCCAAACTTATTTCAATCCACAAAGTGGTTTAAAAACACGAGAACGAAAGCACCTTGGAAAACACACACGCGTAAAGAGCGCCTGTTTAGCACTCGCATCGATTTTGGTGTTAACGTATGTACACGATTCAACTTGTAGCGAAACGATACGCGAAAACGACATAAATGTACCGTACACAAACGGAGCCGATATCGATAAAAAAGATTTCGATAGGAACGGGAAACTTGCTGCACTTTCTTCGCTTAAAAGCGAGATCGTCGGTCAGTGAGAATCTTGGACGAACGAAATTCCGTGATACGAGCACGATATTACTGTTCGGTTCGTCTTTTTCCTTTGTTTTCACCGGCAAGCCGGTTCATGGATGCACGCTCCCTTTTCGCTTTTCGCCGTTCTACTCCGATCCTTCCGCTCTTTGTTCCTCACAGCTCGACCGCTGCTACGTGACTGACCGTTTGCTAGACACTTATACCGCACGAGGCGCGCCGAAGGCGAACGAAGGGGGACCGACGGTTCGTCGATCGGAAACGACCCTCGGTTGAGGGAGCCTTCCTTTGTTCAGGCGAGACTGTGCAGCATGGCTCGTAATGTACTTTCTCTCTTTCTCTCTCTTTTTTCTTCCCCTTTCTTTCTCGCACCACTCTTCCTCTCTATTTTTCACCTTCTTTTCCTTTTTCCACTTTTATTTCTTTCTCTTCCCTGCATGCATGCACGGTAGTCCTCTCTTCTCTTCCTCGCTCAGTTACGATTCCTATCTCACTTCTTTCTCTCTCTCTCTCTCTCTCTTTCTCTCACATTCTCATTCTCGCTCTCTCTCGCGCGCTCTCTCTCTCTCTTTCTCGGTTCTCCCGCTTCACAGCCTGCAATGCGAACGATCGCACGGTCTGTTGGTAACTGAAACGGCAGCGACGGTGGAAGGCGAGTTCACACACGGCGTCCCGACGTTGGTAACGATGGCGATGGCGATGGCGGTGGCGGTGGTGATGGCGTCGGTGGTGGTGGTGTAGGTGGTGGTGATGTAGGTGGTAGTGGTGGAGATGGTGGTGGTGGAGATGGTGGTGGTGGTAGTGCTGATGGAGGTGGAGGTGATGGAGGTGATGGTGATGGTGATGGTGGTGGTGGTGGAGGTGGTACTGGTGGCGGTAATATTGGTGGTGGTGGTGGTGGTGGTGGTGTCGTCGTCGTCGTCATCGTAGCGTCTCCTCCTCGACACGGTAGACTCGGTGGTGGGGGATTATACAAATACAACCACTACCACCGGTTACTACCCCCCTCGTATTACCCTTCGGGATAGCGAACAGCATCCTGCACACCCCGCCGATATTCTCCCCGCGCGTTTCACCCTGCCATCCACTGGCGGTCATCGCAACGGATGCGTGAATCTAAAGAAATCGCTTGAAAGTTAATCATCGCGCAGCTTAAGTGCCTACGACTGCTTTTATAGGATTCTCAACAAATGTCAATCATTACATGTATAGCTATCTATGATAATCTATTCTTAGGCTCGTCTACTTAGGAAAACAGCTCCTCTAACGTAATTTCTAGGCTCTGAGTGCGATACCTAATTCGTATCGAAATATTTCGCTGAAAATGCTATTACAAACAATTTAAAACGATGGAACTTGTTGTATCGTTGAGAAAAAATTACGGGCACGATATTGTTTTTAATTTTTAAAAATGTGTATATATTACAGAAACGAAGTCACGATGTTAATTATTTAATTATTTGATGTATACGATAATGGAAATTTGTAAGAAGATGAGAATCAAAGAAAAATAGTGTAACGTGAAGAAATCGGAAGATTGAAAGTAAGCTGTTGTTAAAAATTAGTAACTTGCACAAGATGATATATAAAATTTTAATATCAAACTTCGTGTTAGGAAAACTGTTTTCATGGAATCGTAAATTTAATTCTTAACGATGAAAATAGTCGAAATGATTATAATAAATATAACTGACATGCCCAATAATTAAGAACGTATCAACTAAAAATTAAGCTAGACAAGTGAGAGTGGAATTCGTAGTTACAATTCGCAACTTTCTATCTACGAAACGTGTATTTTGGGAACCAAGAAAAGAAGAACACGAATAAACGAAATATCTTTTATCCAGCTTGCGGCACACTTTTTGTGAAAAGACACGCATAAATGGCGAAAGACATCATGGCTATATTTAGTAACAATTTCGAAGATAATTGCTTGCCTATTCTCTGGAAACAATCCAACGTGACAGAGAGCTATATTAAAGGTAATGCGACAATTTATCAAAGAGCTATCAAAATACAGAAATATTTCGATAAAAAAGAAAATTCACCGACACTTCGTTAAGTTTTGTACATGATCATACTGCTGCGGTATTAATATAGCTTTTTGACTCAATATCATTTAAGAAATTTAAATTACGCGATAATTATGTAATTTTTATTCATATATTGCTTAAATTTCATTTTTGGTATTAGTACGGTATAGGCAGACGCTATTAATGTAATATGAAATAAATAATATAGAAGTTTAAACGGTGAGTGTACAAACGACATCGTGAAGTAGTATGGTATTATCAGAAAAGAGTTTATCTGCACCATAACCTACGATATATGTAGTCTTTCACGGATCGATAACTCTCTGTTGTCTTTGCAATCTATACGTTACGATAGTCTGGAAATGAGATGCATTATTTCTTTACCAGCATTTTTTTGCTTCGTTGACATTCGTTTATCGATATTTGTTCATGTAACAGACCGTGATAAATTTTTCATACTTGTTAAACATTTTGCAATCGCCATTAGGTTTAATTAATTCTTACGGTATACGTAATAATACACGTAAGATTAATTCAAAATAGAAATTACCTGCAGAAGAAATCTAGTTATTGCTACTCGCATAACCATGTATTACACGCTGTCAACACTCATTTATTCCTCTTGTCTAGAATATAATGCTAAATTTTTCATATACCGTGAGAATTGCGTGAATTTAAATTAGTTTTACGCGTTGCTGAATTTGAATTAAAAGTCACGAAATATATATATATGTTATAATAAATTTGACTTTCGTGTTACAATTGAAATACTTTTAACGAAACAATTTTGTTAAAAATAAATAGAATAATTATATTATTATATTTTATATATTTTACTAAATTATTTCTATTTAAGCAGACACTAATAAAAATATAAGAAAACATTTTACACAGACAAATGTCCATGTAGGAGTATATTTTTAATCGGGAATTTCGATTTAATATTCATTGAAAAATCTGTTAACGAAAATTGTATTGAGATTTTCTTGCGTGAAATCGTTTCATATAAAACTGAATATATTTTCTGCGACTGCAAGTAACACGTAACGAAATATTTAACGTGCAAATACTTCGTTTCGAGCATGTGCATTTTAATTTGTTTCAAAATATAGTTCTATCCTTCGTTTTGAAATGTGCTGAAATATAAAAATACCTTTTTCTTAAATTGCGTGGTATTTTTACGATTACGGAACAATCTATGAAGAAAACGTCAGCAGATAATGATAAATGATACTGTATCCGCATCAAAATTGAACACAAGAGGTAGTTTTCACCGATACCTCTCGGAATACGAAGATATCGTTGAATTACCGAAAGAAGAAAGGTACTTTTTACGACACTTATCTAACATGTAAGTTCGTTAAAGTAAAATCTCGTTAAAATCAAAATCAATAGTAGGCCAGGGAAAGTATATGTACAAGATAACATTCTATACGAATCGTAATAACTCGACGGCATAACAATGAGTATCATTAACATAACAAAGGGTACTTGAATTCGGTAAAAAATGCCGAAAACTGGAGAAAGCAGAATTTTTATACTTAATAATTCAATAATTAATTCCCTCATTTCTACAACAATTTCCTAAATTATATAACAGCGTGAAATCCAAACAAACAAGAAAATTGCATCAATTTCATTTTATTTCTCAAATTTAAATAATTTATGTTCACTAACGAACTTACGTATAATGTTATATATACTATTAATTAATAACAATAGTATTATTATTTTTAATATTATTTATTACGATATTAATAGTATAATAGTATTACATAATACCATTTAATAATAATTAAGTAATATTATATATACATACTATTATTATTATTATCAT